ATCACGATATGTGACAGCCAATGCAAGCCCAATACGCTCATTAGTGAATGAACTATCAAACGAACCAGCTAAGAAGAGTTAGTGTATCTTATAGAGTGAAATGTGCAGTAAGGAATGCTAAGGTGAGGATAGCCCAGCAAGAGCCCCAGACACACGTACAGGAGACACCCAGTTTCATTCTACATCATTCTCCATCATGGCTCAGGACAGAAACACAGTTTGGGTTCACTGTGTTGCCTGATACCAAGGGTATGCTTAGCTACACACACGCTGGATTGTGTGTGTGCGCGCGTGCGCATGCATGTGTGTGTTCAGCAAACATTAACCCAGAATGTATGCTGAATTCACTGTTGTAAATCAGGTTCCCATCTGCTTTATGCACTTCTCTAGCTGTGGCAATCAAACTCATTCTTTTCTTATACTTTGCAGCACCTTCTCACTATCTCTATTTGGATGCTCTTAGACAATAGATGATGTCAACTTGAGAAGCCTGAGCCTAAAATTAGGCAGTTAGTCTCCCTGCCCCCCAATTTGCTCTTGTTCCATCTGCTTCTTTTTCTGTAGGTATCATCATGCCTTCTCTTCAATCTAAATGTTCAATTGGGTTTCTAGATATTCTTCTTTCCAGCATCAAATTGATCCAAAAATTTTGTGGATCAACTATCCCTTGACTTTCTGCCTTTCTCTGCATTTTATAATTGTTGCAGAGACTAATTCTTACGCCTTTTTTTGTGCAGATATTACATCTGGTCTCCTGGTCTAAAATGTAGTGACATTTCATTTGTATTTTAATAATTAAAGCTTGCCTGAAGATCAGAGAGCAAAACAGCCCCACTGATCAGCCTTACAGACCAGGCAGTAGTAACACACACCTTTAATCCAAGTAGCCATACTAGTTGCCATAGAAACCAGGCGGTGCATGCCTTTAATTCCAGTGGTGCATGCCTTTAATCCAGCCCTAAAGATGGTTATAAATTGGGAGGAAACAGCTCTCAGACATGGTCTCATTGTGAGATTCCTGGAGGCAGAATCCCCATTTCTGACTGAGGTGGAGGTAAGAGCCAGTGGTTGGCTGTTTTGTTTTTCTGACCTAAGGTTGAACCTCTTGTTTTTCCTGAGTTTTTATTAATTGTGCATCACTAAAATTCCCCTTTTTTCAATCAGTCTAATTCAGTGTGTTCAATACAATCTTTTCTGAGAAATATGTAACTGATTCACCCTATGGTAACTTAACTTTTAAGTCTCCTCTTGTGAGTAGTGCTGTGTCTTTCCAAAAACATATCCCCCAATAAATTTATAATGTGTAACCTTACTTAGAAATGTGGAATTTGCAAAGATTATCAACTAGAAAGGTAAATATTACATGTGTATATTAAATATACATATTTAAATATATGTGCTTCATTTGAAATACCTATAGATATTAGTGCCATTGGTATCATATAATACAGCTGGTGTTCTTATAGAAAAGAATTATGTAGTAACTCTGGGAGGTCAGAGTATTGTTCATTAGGTAAGAGTGCTTCCTATATAAACATAAAGACAGAGTTTCAATCCCCAAAACATATGACCACAAACATTGCTGGGATGGTAGGACTAGGGTGGACAGAGACAGAAAAATAATGAGGGCTTTCTGGCTGCCAGCCTAGCTGCAATTTCAATGGGGGATGACCATTTCTCTAGGGAATGTGGTATAGTATGATGGAGCAGGACACCTGCCTTGATGCATTCACAAAGGGATGCATACCAATACACATATGCACATATGCCACACACTAAAACAAACAGGTATAAAGAGGGGGGAAGGGAGGGAGAGAAGGGGGCTGAGTACTGATATGCACAGAGAATGCGTGAAATGAATGCACAGATCAGGTTCGTTGCCATCAAAAACTAGAAGAGATATACGTCAAAGAGATTTTTTTTTCCCCAGTATTTAGGAAACTAATACTGATGATACCTTGACCGTGGACTTGTAGCTCATCCAAGATATTCATTTTCTTACATCTCTCAGCATTATACTATCTAGAGACAGCACATAGCATCTGGGCTCAGAGCATGTTGCTACCTATTGGACATGTTCTTTGTCTTGCTCCTTCTATTGGATGCTTTTGCTTTCAAAGTTATGTATTTATCATCTTCTGGGGATCCCGAAGTCCTATATCCTCAAAAGGGTTTCCACTCTTCTCCTCTGTCTCCTGGAAGAAGCCTCTACTGAGGCCTTTGCCCCATGGGATTACATTTTTGTCTTTGTTTTCAGGAATGTCTTTTGATTTAGACTGAGAGGGTATTCATGGTGGGATGTTCTTGTTTGTTTTTTTTTTCCCTCTGCTGTCAAGGTCAAGGAGGTGGCTTATAAAGCCAACATTGCCTATCAAAATGCCACTGAGGACCTGTGTGTGGACCAGTGAGAAGGAAAGGGTTAGAGATGGTGAGAACTTACTTCTTGCATTTATTCTGGTGGTAATTTGCTGGGAAATTTTGGTCAAGTTGCTTCATCTCTCTGGGCCTTTGCCTTCTTATCTGTAAAGTGGTGAGGTTGGTTAGATGCTTTCCAGAGATGACTCAATGTCATTCAAGGGCATCTTCTCTCAAGAATATTTTTTCCCTTTTTATGCTTCTCTAGCTAGGGTCTCATTTCGTTACTTTATATTGTAGCTAGCCTGGAACTCATTGTCCAGACAAGGCTGGCTTTAAACTCTTGGATGATCTGCCTGCTTCTGTCTCCTGAGCACTTAGATTTCAGGAATGTGTCATCATGCCCAGGTAATGATAGTCTTTTCTTTTGTAGTATTCTCCAAACAATCCCAAATCGAATTATAAATATTAGATGGAAGAATGTCTTAGTCAGGATTTCTATTGCTGTGATAAAACACCATGACCTAAGTAACTCAGGGAGACCGGGGTTTGTTTGGCTTAGACATCACTGTTCAACCTCAGTTAGGTTCTTACTGGTTTTTTTCCCCCCCTTTGGAGACAGGGTTTCTCTGTAGCTTTGGAGCCTGTCCTAGAACTAGCTCTTGTAGACCAGGCTGGCCTCGAGCTCGGAGATCCGCCTGCCTCTGCCTCCCGAGTGCTGGGATTAAAGGCATGCGCCACCACCGCCCGGCTAGGTTCTTACTGTTGTGAAGAGACACCATGACCACAGCAACTCCTACAAAGAAAACATTTAATTGAGGTTGTGGCTTACAATTTCAGAAGTTCAGTCCATTATCATCATGACACGGAGCATGGAGGTGTACAGGCAGTTGTGATGCTGGCTATATCTTGGCCAGAAGACAGCAGGAAGCCTACTGACTGACACACTGACTGTCACACTCAGTGAAACTTGAGAAGAGACCACAAAGCCTACCCCCACAGTGACACACTTCCTCTAACCACACCACACTTCCTCTGACAGGTCTATACTTAACCCTGACAAGGCCATAACCCCTAATAGCGCCATTCTCTTTGGGGAGTCATTTCCTTTCAAACCACCATACTGTTCATCATCAGTGGAAGTCAGACAGGAACCTGGAGGCAGGAGCTGACAGAGACGCCTAGAAGGAGTGCTGCTTACTTGCTTGTCCCATGGCTTACTCAGCCTGTTTTCCTACAGACCCCAGGCCCATCCCCAAGGACAGTACCACTCACAGTAGACTAGACTCTTTCCCATCACTCACTAATTAAAAGATGCCCTCCAGGCATCCTATAGTCTAGTCATATGGAGGCATGTTCTTGATTGTGATACCTTCTTCTCAGATGAGTATAGCTTGTGCTAAATTGACATAAACTTAGCCAGCACAAGGAATTAAGACAGATTTAAGTCAAAGTCTATTTATTTATTTTTCTTTCACAAGTTTCCCAATGTCCCTGTCTAGGAAGGCTGGCTGGAACCATAGTTCGACAGATCCTAGAGTTACAGTTTTAAACGGAGTTGATCTTCAGAACATCTGCTAATTTGCTTAGGACCATCGTCAGTGTATAATAGGGGTCTCGGGGAAAATTAGGCAGAAGACTGAGTGGGAAATAGAATTGTATTCAGTGAGATACCTTCAGACACTGGCTGGGAGAGGACCGCCTGCCCCCTTGTAGAAGGCTGCATGGCTAATCTACCCCTTGATCTTTGGCCTCCTCTACCAGTATTTTCAATTTTTCTTCAAACAGTGAACTGCTTACTTTGTAAGTTGTGCGTCTCCTTTATTGGGCCAGATGAGCTTTCAGTCTCCAATAGAGCAACAGGTTTGGGTGGCTGATAATCTTAATTTGGTGACAAAAGACAGAAATCAGCATTTCTGTAATGGTACCAGATTGTATTGGTAACTGACAAATTTTTTATATGGGAAAGTCTTGTCTAGTTTTGCCTTTGGCGAAAGCTCCCTTCCCTTCAATACTGTTCCTTGAGATATTCATATCCGCAGAGCCTGGCACAGTCAATGAAACTGCTAGCTTGCTCCATGAGTAACCAGACAGGACGTTGTCCAAATCATATAGATATATTTTTGCTTCATTTGTGTTTAAAGTATTTGATTCATAACTGTCTAGTTTGTAGAAGTTATTTGGTCTCCACAATGCATGCTGTAAAATGGGTATGGTGATGCCTTAGTACCTTTGACATTTTATTTCTAAGGCTAATTTCTACGACTAATACATTCATTAGTCTTATCTGAAGCATTTCTACTCAACAGCATTGCTTCTAGTTTAAATACTTGCAGGCAATTTAAATAAGGTTGTGACTTGAATGTAATTTTACAAAGAAAAAATTTACTTCATTAACTTTAATATGGAGGAAACCCTATTAAATTCTATTGCCATAGGTCTGGTCATGGCAGTTATGGAACATTCAAAGATTCTAATTTAAATAATTTTAATGTCATTTCCTTGTGAGTTTTACCACTGCTTTTTTCCTTCCTATTTTGAATTTCATTTTCCCCAGTGACCAACGGAATTATGACCATCAGTACTCAGGGGGAAAATGTAATAATGGATCCAATGTCCTGTCGTGGCAAGAAGCAGACTCGGTCTCCTGTGCAGTGAGCATTCTTCTCTAGAGAGGATTCCCTTCCTTATATCCTAGAGCTGTTTGAAGTCTTATCTGAACACCAAGTCAAATACCCACTAAAAGCTTTCCTGTCTGAAAGACCATGGATAACTACAGTCCGCATCTGAAGTTTAGAACTGACTAGTCCAGAAAATGTTCCTGAAAAAAAAAATCGCCCCACTGTATGACAGAATATACTTTGGGGGTTAGAAAGTGCGTAGGTAGATTAGACAGAGTTGGGGATTTATTGGTGAGTCATGGGAGCCACTGAAAACATTGGTAAGGGCCCTGTGTTCATCAAAACTTTATCCTTAATAACATTCCAATGGTTTCAAAGCAAGTATCTGTGTATCCACAGCTCCCCAGGAAAAATATTAGAGGGCCAATAGGAAGCAGTGATCTGTTCAAATCACAGTGATTGACAGACAGAAATGAAAGGCATCCTCCTCCAGGCGCTTTATTCCATTGCTATTATTCAGGAGGGAAGAAGTTGGCTGGGAAGGAAAACAGGACCTGGTAGAATATAGCACTACTATGGCTTTGATCTCCTTCTCTGGGTCACTGCATACAAATCTGCTGGCTCTCAGGAGCAGCTGCACCATGCTGGTTTTATATTCATCTTTTTGAGAGTGGACTTGACCATTCAGTCTTCTTTGGCCATTGGAATGCTGGCAAACACGATGCGAGTGGCATCTTGCATGACTCTGTACTCTGACATTTGTTGCCTCATGCCTCTGTTATCACCATTTAAACTTGCTGGCTCATTGTAAGAAGGCACTTCAAAGCTGCATGGCAAAAAGAGTAGGTACTGGGTCAAGAGAGTCACAGGCCACCATTGCAAATCACTAGACTTTGATTGTCATCGTGCCTACCCTTTTTACTCCAGAATTCTGTCTTTCTGCAGAATCTAAACTAGGACTCATTGTGTAGGTTAACAGATACCTAGAATCTAGACCTAGACCCTTCCTTTAAAGTCAGCCCAAGTATTATGTCTCTAAAAAAAAGTTAATACTAAACACATCTAAGTCTTGTCAATGGTGTCTTTTGTTGGGTAGCTACAACAAGTACTAACTGACACCATGATTAAGGTACCATCTCTTGAAATAGTGTTCTATTTGAGAATCTCCTTCAGGAAAATTTAGCAGAGATGGATTTCAGAAAGGGGGAAGAGAATGTATATGTGAGTCACAAGTAGGCAAGAATCTATGAGGTGGAGAGTTCCCCACTACAGAACTTAACAGACTCTCTAAATATGGCTCCCTAAGAACTCCAGGAGAAGACTGTTTCTAAAAGGAAGCAGAGGATTGATGGAGGAAGGTCATTGGTTAATTAAATAAAGAAACTGCTTGCCCTGATAGGTTAAAACTTAGGTGGGAGGAGTAAACAGAACAGGATGCTGGGAGGAAGAGGAAGCGAGAACAGACTCGACAGCTCTGCTCTGGAGCAGAGACGCCATGCTCAGCTCTCCCGGGTAGATGCGATAGCTCCTCTCAGAGACACAGGCAATGAAGCTCCGACCCAGGATGGATGTAGGCTAGAATCTTCCCGGTAAGCGCACCTTGGGGTGCTTACACACATTATTAGAAATGGGCTAGTCCAGGTGTGAGAATTAGCCGAGAAGAGGCTAGATGTAATGGGCAAGCAGTGTTTAAATGAATACAATTTGCGTGTTATTATTTCGGGGCATAAGCTAGCAGGCGGCTGGGGTGCTGGGGACGTGGCCCTGCTGCACTTATTACTACAGGGGATAGGTGATTCAGTTTAGATAGATGAAAACTGGAGCAGTGACCTTGGCTTTGTGGACAACCAGAGACTGTGTCATCACTAAAATATCAGTTAAATACAGCCATATTCTTAAGAGGTGGTCTAGTTTGCCACTTCTATATAGATGTAGAAATTGCTCATTTAACAGAAAAGAAATTGCAACTGAGCAAAGGGAAATGCAGGGCTGCTTCCCCTTCTGTATTTGCCCAGACCTTTACCATTTGAGGGAACTACAGAAGGCCAGTGTGCCTTGCCTAGTCACAGACTGTACTGCATGTCACTCTGCATGACCTGCAAGACATTTCATAAGTAGAAATTTCGATTCAGCCATGCCTAACCCAGAGTCTAGAACCCTGTTTCCAAGCTGTGTTCATACTGTTACCATTTTCAGCTGATAACCACCTCCTGTATGTAGGTCATGCCCTTATGCTTGAGGCCATAGTACTGAGAAGGGTTTCATGTGGAAGTGCAGTTACAGAAAAGGCTCTTCAGTGAACCTTATGTATGATCCCATGAGCAGATAGATGCATTTGCTCCTCATGACTGGCTGTCTACATGTTCCATGAAGCATGGCACATCATGGCATTTGCCAGAAGCTATAGAGACACTCAGGAAAGAAGGAACAGAGATTCTAGCTCAACATTTGACACTAGCCGAGTTTGAGGTCTATCTGGCAGTGATAATATGATGGAGGTGCTGTGTAGTCAACAGACAGCAACAAGTATTGGTAGTCAATGACTCAGAATAGGACCAAGACACAGACAAGTGTGAGTATTTCATCAAAGGAACATGCGGTATGCTGAAGATAAAAATACATTGACATAAATGGGGAGAGAGTGAAAGAATTACTAGAGATGTACTATACTGTGGGAAATCAGGAAGAAAAATATGAGGGCTGAAGGGATGTTTACAGGGAGGGAGTTTCTCAAAGATGGGTGCCTAGATCCTTTCTGGTCATTACATCTACTTGTCAATAGAACATGAATAAAAAAAAAAAAAACTCATGAATGGTCATTTCAAACTTAGAAATGCAATAGATTTCATCCTTTATATGCTTAGAAAATAGTAAACAAACAAATATAACAAACAACAAAAACAGACAAACACAAATCAAGAAACAATATAGTGACAAAAACAGTCTTACTATATTTGTATTTAGAATTTGATCAAATTGTCTGACATTCACATAAATACTTCTTTCTCTTCTTTTTCCTCCCCCTTTATGAGTCTGGGAGTCTGAGTCTAAGCATACTTCTCATCAGAAACATCTTTAAATGTAGGAGAAATTATAAATATGTAGCTAATTTTGTCATCCAAAGATAAGAGCAATTAAAATTTTGATATTGTCTCCCCCAGTTCTTTCTTTGTGTTCACAGACACACACACACACACACACACACACACACACACACAGACGAGGATAGGTATACACATACATACACCGTTTGTTTTCCTTCAGCTGCTGACATCAAGTGCCATGTAAGGGACTCAACTTGGGCTTCAAAGACAATTTTGAAGTCAGTGTTACACAACCACTGACTCAACATTCACAAGAAAGTCCATATTGAAAAGTCCATCATCTGAGCCCAGTTTATTCAGAGGACTAGGAGAATAAGAAGAGCTAAGTCATTCTTCCTGTTCTTACTGTTATTTTCAGGCTTTAGGGTTATACATCAACAGACAATCATAGTGGTATGTTTACCTAGGATGAACTTCAACCTTTAAGTATTTTTCCAGGATTTTCTTTTTCCAGGAAACGGATTCTTGGCTTGAAAATTCCAATTCTTATGCGGGAAAGGATGGCTCTGACTATTATGTAACTGATCACTTCCATTAGATGTTTGTAGGAAACATTTTTTTTGTATGTATATTGGCAAAAATCTCTGCATAGAAAGACATTTCAAGAGATTAATGTTTGGCAAAGCTGTGAACACATTTATAAAGGAGGAAAAATACGGTGTTCAGAGCCAAAGGACTTGAGAACATTCCTGGAAAACCATAAAAAGGTACTTAAAAATCCCAGCACTAGATTAGGCTGCAGAGTGACATGCAGTGTAGTGTGTGACTAGGCAAGTCACACTGGCCTTCTGTAATTCCCTCAAATGGCAATGGTCTGGCAAATACAGAAGGGGAAGAAGCAGCCCTGCATTTCTATACTAAGTTGTGAGTTGTCATGACATATTAGTCTTTAAAACAGTGTGAATCGTGTAACCTGATGTTGTAATTGGAGTGGGTATGGGCATTTAGAATCTGTGATTGTTCTATTTTGTTTATTCAGGTTTTGATAATATTTGGTGACAACGTGAAGAATTTTCATGCTTAAATTTTAAAGATCTGAGCACATGAAATAGTATTAAGATTATGTTTCTCCAAGGCTTGTTAGAAAGAATAGCCCCTGTGTGTGTGTGTGTGTGTGTGTGTGTGTGTGTGTCTTAGGAAAGTGTGGTTATGAAGAAGTCTACATGATGATTTCTAGAATACTGGCTTGCACATTTTGCACATTTGTCTGGATAGTACACCATTGCCTAAGAAGGCTGTAGAGAAAGGCTAGGACTCAGAAAAATCAGTCAAGCATTTGATTTTTAGAGAAACCAATGAGAAGGGACACAGTGGTGGCAATATTCTTGCTAGGAAAAGAATGACTGGGGAAGCCATATAGAATGGAGTGATATTTGTTTGTGTTTTAACAAATAAAGATTGCCTGAAGGTCAGAGTACAGAGTCAAGTCACTAAAGACCAGGCAGTCTTTAGTGTACACCTTTAATCTCAGGACTCAGAGACAGATCTCTGTTAGTTCAAGGCCCCCTTGGGCTACATGAAATTGACCCAGTCTAAAAGAGAAACAGAGCTCACCCAAAATATGCCTTTAATCCCAGCACTAGAGAAGTGGAGACAGGGGTGACAGGGCTGGGCAGAGAGAGGAGTATAAGGTAGGTGGAGACAGAAGTTCAACACAGTCTGAAGAGAGCAGTACAGCCTAAGACAGTCAGTCAGTCTGAGGTGTGGTGCAATCTAGGCAGTCAGTCTGAGGATGCAGTCTGAGGACAGGGTCGCTCCTTTCGTCTGAGCATAGATACAGGTAAGAACTCTCTAGTGCCTGGCCGCTCTGCTTATCTGTTCTTCAGGCAAGCTTTATTTGTTAAAACACAAACAAAATAGCACTACACTGTTGAAATAGGAATGGCAGGGCTGCGTCCCTGGCACCCGGCCGCCCGCATGGCTAGCTTATGCCCAGAAATAATTACACGGAAACTGTATTCTTTCAAACTCTGCCTGGCCCGGCTAGTTCCAGCTTCTTATTGGCTAGCTCTTACATATTGTTCTAACCCATTTCTAATATTCTGTGTAGCCCACGAGCTGGCTTACCAGGGAGGATCTTAACCTGCGTCTGTCTGGAGCGGGAGAATCGTGGCGACTCCTTCACCAAGCCTCCTTCTCCCAGCATTCTCCTCTGTTTTCTCCACCCACCTAAGGGTGGGCCTTATCAAGGGGCCTAGGCAGTTTCTTTATTAATAAGAAATCACTCCCACATCACTACACTAGAAGCTATATTTCAATACTGTTTCAGCTTTCTAATGTTACTATGACAAAAATACCCCAGTCTGGACAGCTTAAATAACAGAAATGTATCTTCCAATTATGAAGGCTAGAAGGTTAAATGTTGGAATTTACGCATCATTTTTTGTCTAATTTCCAAGAGTTCCATGGATTGTGGCAGCAAGGCACCAGTCCACACACAGCATTGTACCTTCCCACCCCGTGTGTGTATCTGAGCTTCCAATTCTTATAAGACCGGTTGTATTAAATTAGAACCCACTTTAATGGTCTTATTTTTAAGTTAATTACTTCTATAAAATCTGTATCATCATGTAAGTTTACATCTGAAATGATTAGATTCAGGACCTCAAAGCATGAGTTTTCCTGTGTGTGGGCAAGGCATACATTATCCCATAATGCATACAAAGAACTTTGCTTTTGCTTAGGTTTCATTTTTATTTTGAATAGTTCCTGTTCTCAGGCTAATGGAAACCTGGAAAATGTCTCCTTCCCAGTCATTCCTTGTTGCTGCTTTGAGTGAGGTAACTTCGACATACTCAAAAACCATACGTGATGCTAAGTGAAAGAAGCCAGCAACAGAAACTGTGTATTGTACAGACCCATTGGTAGATATCTGGCCTGGCCTGCAATCTCAGACATTTGAAAGCATGAATCAGGAGGATGGCCAACTCAAGGCCTGGCTAGTTCAATGTCAGACCAGCATGTTAGTGAGACTGCTGGGCTGGAGCTGTAAGCGATGCTTTGTGCCCAAGATATGGATCTGGGTACAGGGCTCCTTTGTAAGGTGATGGAAGTGCTCTTCAATTCACTTATGGTGATGGACATGTAGCATGTGAATATGTTAAAAACCACTGGATTGCAACTTCGGCTGAGTGAATTGGGTAGTGCACAAATTAAATCTGAGTCATGCTATTATTAACAAAAATGGCTTTGTTAGCAGCTGGATATAAAAAAATTGTATGAATTTATATATCTGTTGCAGTTATGATGTTTTAAGGCCTAACATTTCATCTTCTCTTCTCCCATTTTCATCATTTACAGAATGAATAGGGTAGGTATTATTTAATGGGAGGGGGAACCTTCCATAATCCAACTAACTTCCATTTACCTTATTGAATTAAGCTTATTTTAAGCATTGGCTTGTGAGCTATGGGTATGGATTTAATTCTTCCAATGACTTGCTTTGCAACTTTAGGCAAATTATCATGCCTCTCTGAGGCCCCATCTCCAAAGAAAGATACAGAGTGGGAATATTATAATAACAACAATGACAATTTTTTTTTACTTCTGAGGCTGTTGAGATGATTTAATGTGATAATATCTGCAAGGGCTCAGCAAACACACAGCACATTGTAATTTACCAAAAGGCAGTACTTTATTATTATTGGCATACATTTCCAAAAGTCAAGATTAACAGCTCTACTTCAGCAAAATGGGCCAGATGAATTTCAGTCAACAGGAAACAGACCCACAGAGTTGTCCTTTCATTTCGAGGCTCCGTCAATCACACCTCCTACATAATTTTTAATTCTTAAATAATTTAACAGAGCAGCATCTGTGTTAATCCAGAACATATTTCTTCTTGCACCCCTTCTGCAGTCTGGTAAGATGCTTGTGTTCTCAAATAATCAGCTTGACTCTGTTTCCAAGAAGCACCAACTGCCAGGCAAACTGACACATGGGTGATCATCCTAAGCAATCCTGATAGATGCAAATCAGATTATCTAGTATTCGTTGAGGACCCACTTTGTTAAAAACATTATGCCAAGCATATTAGGAGGGGCAGAGTTGAACAGTTGCAATATGGAGATGAGACTTTCATAGATACCAGAGTTTGGCGGTGAATAGGCTGGTGTGTCTATTTTGTGGTGCATCAGATACTTTGAACTTTCCAGGGCTGGGAAAATTATAGTGTCCTGTATGATGTTGAATCCAAAGCTAGACACAGGGGCATATTCACTCCCTGAAGAAGGGACTAAGAGTGATTAATTCAAGTGGAATGAATTTGTGAGAAGCAACTTAGGAGAAACATGTCTGGATAAATGTTGGCAACACGTGATGCTTCTCATCATCCATCACCAGAGCCATGCCCCTTTATGACCTGGATTTCTGATTGGGAGACAGGAAAGACTTGTCACCTAGGTAGAGCTGCCTCTGAAATGATGGGTTACGATTTTGATAATTGAGTTGAGAATGGAGAATTTGATAATAGGAAGGGAAATTTGAGTTGGGCTATGAAAGACCTCAAAAACTCTTCAGTGGGAATGAAAAAGCTAGACACAAAAGAAAGTGTGTGTGTGTGTGTGTGTGTGTGTGTGTGCATGAGAGAGAGAGAGAGAGATTTCCCATATATTTTGCATAGTGTTCTCAAGTGACATCTTGTATGAATTAATAAAGAAGTTGTCTTATCTTCTTGCAAAACAAGTAGGTATTTGAGCAACACAACACCAGTTAGTTTCAACATCAAGCCCACTGCTGGTTCGTTTGTTTCTCAGCAACTGAGCTTTTCCTTGACAGTAACATTAATTACGTCCATCACTCACTCTAATATGACCTTTGTTTTCCCCTTATTCCCTCCACAGAGGCTCACATCTGGGCAGCTGCAGTCTCGCAATGGCAGCCCCGAGACTTCACTATATGACAATCAGAATTCCTGGAGCTCACGTCAGACATGCAAGCTCATGTGTTGTTCTGCCTCTAGCTTGACATGCCTGAACTGAATTAGGGAGCATTCATTCCTACCGGGGTGCAGAAAAGCAGGTTTTTCTATTCACCAAACAATTATTCATTTCAAAGGGTTAGGACAAGTCTTGCAGAAGAGAGCTGGAAGAAACACACATTTATTAAGGCATTATTGGATGAGTGTGGACCTTGAAGCCCAAAGGCTAAAGTCTGAATCTTGGACCTGCTACTTATTTGCTGGGAAATTTCGAACAGTATGTTCTTACTTGCTCCAGGTGTAATAAAGGTGGTAATATCTACTGTGCCATGTGGACATAACTAGGATGGAGTTCAGACTCTGGCAGAAACTTGACTCCCTTTTCCAAAGGCCCAAAAGAAATGACATCTGTGATATACAATTATGTCCGTTGGTGTTGAGGAAGCAGGTACATGGAAAGAGTCTCTCTCTCTCTCTCTCTCTCTCTCTGGAATATCTGAAGTCAAAGAACTACATATATGATTTTATTCACAGAAAAAGAAGTTGTTAAGATTAGTGGCTACTCTATAATATACAACCACCAAAGAATAAGCATGTGTTTTAGCTCTACAACTAGGCTTGTCGTAGCACACATTCATCACTCTGGACATACTGGGGAACCAACGTCCATTGAGGTATGAGAATAGGGAATTCAGATACAAGACCAGCATCCTAGTGCTCAATCTAAGCAGCTGCAAAAGGCCTCATACTCAGGGTTCCCGTGCTAGCCCCAGGACTCTGCCTTATCCACCTTGAAAATTTTAATAATATTTGAACGAGGACCCTCTCAATTGCTCTTTTCTTCTGAGTCTCCCAAATGATGTAGTCAGTGCTGGTCTTGTCTTTAGACAATTACTTCTTTATAGTCCTCCTCACCCTTATTTGGTATAACGAAATCACATGGAATAAAGGCTTATATGTCACTGTGGTATACTAGCAGATGCACAGTGTCACATTGGTATAATTGTCCCCATTGGACAGATGTGTAATTTACTCAAGGTTACATGATTAGTGAGGGGTCAGAGCAGCACCAGTACTCTATATTATGTGGTAATAAATGATGAAAGCCTGGGTGGTGATAACCACTCAGGACAACCAGTTCAGAAGTAACACATAGCATCAAATGCCATTGAATGGCATTGGAGTAGGGCTGATGTGCAGGACTGTGCTGAACTCAGAAACACTGTTTATAGTAAAAGTCACCAAGGATGTACTTGCTCCTTAACATATTTGCAAAGCTTTATTTACGTGTTTTCCAGCCTCTCCTCTAGGGGCTCACAAATAGACTCCATTAAACAAATATTTGTTAAATGCATTATATTCCGGCCCCATTCTTCTGAATGAAATTTGCTTCCCTTCCTTCAAATGTATACCTTTGTTTCTGATTGTCTTTGAAGCTTCATGTGTTTGACGTAAGAATGTTCATTGGCAAGTTTGATGGCTGGCTATATCAGGCAGAAAGATTTAAGTTTTAATATTTGATGTCCATTCCTTTGGTATGATTCTTTGCTGGTTATTTACCAATTTTGATGCCATGAGAGCCTTCTCGTCATCATCTGATGCTCACTTCCATGGGGATGCCTATGAAAGTGTCTGATTTCCAATGTTCTCACTGTAAGCTAAACTAGCATCTCTGTCTCTGTCTCTCTCTCTGTCTCTCTCTCCCTCCCTTTCTTTCATTTCTGGGAGTTAACATATGTTTCTCTTGACACTGTCTGACCATCCCCATTCCCTCATTCTGTCTCCTTAGTATGCCACGGCTGGATACCTCTGCCTAAATCCTCTTCGGTGGCCTGTCCCAGGTAGACAGTCCGGTTTGCTAAGAAACTGACACTGAATCTTTACTGTGGAGGTCAACAACTTTTAGTGTTGAGAAGACACAGAGGCAAAGCTACAGTGACAGTGGATCCCTGGTGGCCTGTGCCATGCCCACCCAGAGCTCTGAAGTAAGAAGCACCAACATTTTCCTGTTAAACCCAAATAGCCAAGTGACCACCCTAATCTCAGCTAGTGGCTGGGGATGGCCTTGGAATAACATGACCTCAAGTGAAGTCATGTACAGCAGCGACTCCTGAGGACTGACAGCTGGAAGTGCTTGTCTCTGTGGGCTCAGCAGCCCGGGAAATAGCTCTTCGCTCCCAGAAGGA